GGCCTGTATTTATATAGCGCTTTACTAGTCCCTAAGGACCCCAAAGCGCTTTACACATCCAGTCATCCACCCATTCACACACACATTCACACACTAAACTTCAAGCAGATATTTCGTGTTGCAGTTCGTGAAACCTCCACAGTGCTTATGCAGTACCTTTGGATAAGTTGTCCTGGTTTGCTGTTGGTTTGATGTTGTTGCTGCTTTGAACTGCTGTACACAGGTGGGCTTTGTTGATGGAAAGAAATTTCTGCAGGTGTTTTGCTGCTCTTTCTGTGCTCTTTTTCACATTTTTGATAAGGGCCTCCCTCCTAGAAACAGTAACAGGACTCCAGAATACCTTCAAATTGTAGAAAGTCTGTCTCACGCTGATCTTAGAAATGCTTTTCCTGCCATCTCCATGCATCTCTAAACTATTCTGAAATCTGTCAAGATCAAGACGTGGTCTTTCTAAAGAAGACTGACAAGCTAAATGATAAATGCATTTATTTATAGGGTAGGGGGGCACTACTACTCCCAGTCTCACCTAAATAATGGGAATGCGTGATTTTGTGTGGATTTGAAAAGGCTGTTGTTAGAGGGAACATACTTACTCACGAACTGTGAAGGAAATGTGTAAAGTATAGCTGTTAATTATGAGTAATGACGCTCATTCCAAAGGCCAATTAATACAAATGTCAGAAAAAAACTGATACCGATTCCAACCTGTGACGAGAAAACATTAAGTTTGTGTTTTCTTGCTTATAAACTTTGTGACTTCTTGCCAGCACGGAGATGCTTTGTAGAGTTGTTAAACTAAATTACTCCAGCTTTTAATGCCTGAGTTTTAATGGACTTAAAGCTTTTAATGCTAAATTGCTTTTAAAGTCAAAATTAGATTCTGAATAAACTGGTAACAGAAAAGCTTTTGTCCGTTTTTCTTTTGTTATTCTTAAAGCGTTTATGCAGGATAGATGGATCGATCCTCTGCAGCAGCAGCATAAAGAATACAAATAAACTGGTATTACTCAGGCTCAGTTCTCTATACATGAGTGTCCCTATTAACTGCTACTGGACGTATCTATCTCAAAGGTCTCCCAACATTTCTAGTCCTGGGCCAATAAATAAAACCATGGCTCGGTGAGCGAAAACCCTGTGGGATTGCTAATACGCTCCAAAATGAGCTCCTCTATTGAGTAGAGGAGACCTGCGGGGACTCCTGGGGATGATGGGTAGAAATAGGGAGGGGTGGGTTAGTGAGCAGAGAGTAACCACAATGTGATTACGGTCTTCAGTTGTGCAGCTCGATTCCATACCTTAATGAATATTGTCAGGAGGATTTCAGACCTCCCAGTGCAAAAGCTCGTTGAACATCCTTAAATAGGTTAGACAGCAGCAGGCAGCTTTGTTTTACGCTGCTTCCACACGCGTACTGTATACAGTAGCAGCTATTGGACAAGCCCTCTGTGGGAATTGCACTTCATGCATTTATGCAGCTTCTGTCCTGCGTCGTTGCCATTAGGTGTATAATTTGTAACTCGTGCATTAATCCAGAGTCTACAGTATGTTAATGCTGCAGGTATGCTCACAGCTGCTGATGTCTTTACCCTGCATGCATCCAGGTTTAATAATGTGCTCTATAGAGCCGAATTCTCTCAAGTGTCTCAGCCATTTCTTTTAACCGCCAACTTGCTTTAATGACAGAAGCCCCCCCCCTTTGTTTTTACCCAGCACACAGTTTTGTTTTGGAGAACAAAAGAGCGCCAGTGGAAAGTGGGACGCTGAATTATTGTGACTTTAAATCAGTGAATGCCTGCATTAAAGCTATTAAGGTGGATTTAGGCTGACTGAAGTCTCATACCAGCACTTGTTTAATGAGGAAAAAATAGAAGGAAGGGTTGAGGGAAGAAGCAGAGGAGATGGGAGCTGACAGAAGAAATGAGCGTGTGAGGTGTCTGGAAGGTGCCAGAGACATTTCTTGGCAGGAAGTCGAGACCACCCAGGACTCAGTGTGTCGCAGCAGGCCTCCCTGGGGGGATTTTTTTCCCACCTCCAGTCAGTTACTGAAAGCTTCATCCGCATGCATTCAAAGTTTTGGTGTAAATACTCGTGAGGAGCCTTGTGCTGACGCTATCGTACAACACCTGCCCCACATTTCTTCTTTTTTCTTATAATTGCACCGTGAGACTCAGTCACACTTGTAATGTTCACTTGTTTGGAAACGTACGCCGAGACCGAAAAACAGACACATCTGTCTTGTTCAGGTGCAGAGTACACAAAACCTGATTTCTTTCTCCCCATGGGTTTTTAACACTGTTTTTCGCTCCCTTTAAATTCCTCCTTTATTGCATTGTTTTGAACCTAAATGAGCTCTTCATCAAGTACAACAAAACTGTGTAATAAAGCAAGAATTTTAAGAGGAGCCGATAACAGGGTTACAAGTCCCAGCGGAGATAAAATCATAACGACATACAGCACTTCTGCAGATGCAATTACAGGAGGTCTCATTCCAAAGCATCAAAACACCATTAGCCTCTAAAGTCACATCTAAAGTTAGAGTCTGGATAAGTTTAAGAGTTAATCCCAAATTGTTAAAACATTTTTAAAAAGTTCAGTGTGTTGCTTTACACCTTTTATTGTGCAGAAAGGGCTATTTCCAGATAATGTAGCACCTACTAGAAAAGCTCCTGGTTCAATCCGAGCACCATCGAGGAGAAGCTGTCTCTTCACTTCAACTAGACAGACATTCATTTGGCATTTAGGGCTCAAATTCTGAGCATTTCACAAAATCATTCATCAAATTAATGATTAAAGGTCTGAATCTTAAAGGTCGATGTAGGCAGTACCTCATATGTAAACACGAGCTTTTAGTGTCTAAAAATAACCAAGTACTTCACATATGAAGTATAAACATAATAATGCTGGTGTGACTCTATAGCAACATGATAGTTTAATCAAATTTCTATTGTAGTGTGAAGATGTTTTTTTAATAGTTCATAATTTTTTTGGAAAACAACCTTTTTTTATAACCTTGCTGAAGTTTTAATGCTGACAAACCAATTTAAATGACCTTTTGTTTTTCATTCTTACACTGACAGTTTTCTTGAGATTAGTGTCACTGCAGACCGATGGGACCCTGGATACAACCTGTTCCTACTCCTCTCCTCTAGTGGGCGCTACAGAGCCCTGCACGCCAAAATAAGCAGACTTCTTCATTGCACATATAAATATAAATATGCTACATGTGCTGTTATTGTCTGTGTCATGTTGCTTTTGTCCGTCTTGTCTGTTTAGAGGAAAGAAAAGAACATCGCTCAGTTCCTCCTACGTGTGCACGGACTTGGTCAGTAAAGCTGACTCTAATAGATTCTGGTACATTTTTGTAAATGCATGACTTGGTTGTTATTTTTTCTGCATAATCTTCCAACATTTTATGCAGCGATTCGCTTTCTGAGTAGGTTTACGTGGCGTTGCTTTCAGTACCTGCATGACTCTATCGCTCATTAGTAGCAGTCACACAGCATTTTTAACCGCTTATTTAAATTTTGCATTTGAGTTGACTTTGTGGATGTGGCACTCAGAAAGTGAGGCGGCTATAGAAACTCTACAATTTCACAGCCTCCCTTCTGCTGTTGTCCAAAACGACCTTCACATAGAGGTATAAAAGCTTTTTCATGTGGAGCCATTGTGAGAAACCTGATTTTCCTCCTGTCTTCTTGCTGGGCTGATTTGAACCTTTGCTTCCACCAGGAGGAAAAATAGAGCTAAAAATGACTCCT